TTCTTTTCTGGTTTTCGTTAATTATTACAGATTGGTCCCCCGGCAACCACCGGGACCTCCTTACCTGCGTAAGCTTTACTCCTTCCAATGTGCTCCCATCCACTGGTGACATGGACACCTCGTGGAGGTGGCACGCATGCACAAAAAAGTGTCTTATATAGTAGAAGGCATTACCGTAATCGTGACATGACCTTAGAATGATATTAATTGGACCTCAGGTCTTTTGGCGGTTAGCTCCCCTCGCCCTTCTCCATCTCCTATTCCCTCTACTGCTCTCCAGCTGCTATTGCAGCATCATGTGGAATGAATGAGACCATGCTCAGTAGGTGTTTATATAGCCGTTGGGGTGTTATCACATTGATAGCACTGCAAAACATTGATTGCTAAAGTCATAGTTACTCGATTTTGTTAACGGTCTGTTTACTTCACGAGTTTCCCTACCACTTCATTTTGCGGACGGACACACAGACATACATACATACATACATACATACATACATACATACATACATACATACATACATACATACATACATACATACATACATACATACACACACATACAGACATACAAACCGACACACAAAGTTAGCGCTTTATAAAATAGAAGGATTCATCGTTTTTTTGGTTTAATTGAGCAGGCAGTGTTTCATGAGTATCAATGCCTCTGATTGACCACAGCGCATTTCATTTCAGGCTCTTCAAGTTATTGAATGTGATCACATCGTTACTCCATTGGCGGACGAGCTTGAGGCATGGAAATCAAATAAGGTATTTTTTAGTTGTTGAAGGCTCAGAATGTCGAGCGTAACGTATTTATCGGTGTAAGTGAGGATTCGAAAAGAGGGCTGGCCAGATGCGGGAGATGAACTAAGGAAACAGCCTTGATGTAGGGGCGAGCAAGAGCCTCACTGCTGATCAGCAAGGATAGTTAGGCTGGTGGTCAGAGTTCACGATCCGCCTCTTCGCTAGTTTTTCGTTGATTTTGCCGCGAATTTTCGCGATTTACGCGATTTTCGCGAAACTTGCGATGGATCACAGGAGTTGGAAGTGCCCGATGAATACTGCGAGGTGTTGTTTAATCCTGCTGCGAATTCTGCTTGGCAGTAAAGATTGGAAGACGAATGTTTGTGGTTCTACTTGTTTTTTCAGGAATCAAACCAAACCAATCACAAAAATTGCAAGTGCCCCATTTGAACAATTGAAACACTGGATATGAAACAAGTGGAATCATGAGCAGTCTCCATTAAACCATAACCATCAAGCAGAAGTGACGGCGGGATTGGAACACCTTGCAGTATGGATGGGGCACTTGTGATTTCCGTGACCCGTCGCGCAAATCGCGAAAATCGCGAAAAATCGCGGCAAAATCGCGCGGGGACGTATGTGAAATCACCTGTAGGCAGCACCGAAGTTTGGCTAAGTGAGCTTCGTTGAAGGCTCAATTAAATGTGGGCCATTCCACTTCCGAATTGAGCCTTCAACGGTGTTTGCTTAGCCAAACTTTGGTACTGCTTAACCATTTCTGTGCTGAGCAGCTGTGAAGCTCGTAAGTTGGAGTTGAATATGAGAGGTTATATGAAGGGCTGACAGATGCGTTCATTCGGAGAGCTGAACTAGTGCCATCATAGCGTTTCCAGTTGCGTGGCCGTGGCTCACCATCATGCTAGGTTATCGCTTCTTCGTCAAAGATGTAATCTCTGTTCCAACGGTGGAGGTTGTTTCAGTGTCATTTGTTGTTTTATATGTCTTTTTATGTGAAATAGTGAAAATTTGATCTTCCTCTCTCTTGCTTCCTCAATTTCGAGGAATCTGAGATTTTTCGCTGTAGGCTTTATCAGTTATGGAGCTTTGGAGCACATTCTGATCAAATACTGTTATTGAAAGAATTTTAGGCTCAACGATCGGAGGAGAGAAAGCGAAAGGCGGATAAGAAAGCAGCGGGCAGCTAGCCCCGAAAACAACGGGTGAGACGGCGCATTCACAATCGCCACCATCGCTCGCGGGTAGATGCGTGGGGTGAGAACTCCAGAGAAGCGATCTTCAGACATGGACGAACCACTTCTTGTTTCACGAGGCATGTGGTCGCAGTAAATATATTGTGTCTTTTTTTTCGGTTGATCCTGCGGTCCGTTAAAGGCCGGTTAGCCAATCGCACGTGTTTCTAATCGGAGACCAATATCGTGAGGTTTCTTGGCCACGTATAGTTTGATGCCTTCATGCGGTGGTCTCTTCCGTATGACAACAAACCTCCGAAGGCAGGTAAACGTAAATTCACACCCCGTGCTGAGGAGGTTTCCCGTAAACTCTGCACGTCGGTATGAGGCACGGCGCACCTTGACCCCGTGAGGGAGCTGCCGGAGACATTCATGAGTCGAGGGATTGCTTTGTCCCCTAAACAAGAAACATTGGTTTTTCCTGCTCCGTGACTTGGAACAGGAACCAGCGTACAAGACTGATGAGTTGTATTCATTCTCCTTGGTGTCTTGCTTTGCTTGACCATCCGACTTTTTGACCGTTGATAAGTATTTTTGTAACCCTCTCATCAGCTGGCTGGTTGATAAATAGTCCTGCGCCACTGGTTAGGGGCTCTTGTTGCAAACTTTAAATGAATCTTACACGCAGCCAAAACGGAACGAATCAAGTATTGGTTCAGACGATGAGGTTCGTTGCGACCCCTTCCACGTCCGATATGTAGGTTGTATTGCGTTCCGGAAGTGGGTTTCGGCGCCTTATCACGCCGTTGATAAGGCGCCACTGCCCCTGAAGCGTCACCTATCGTCTCATTGGGTAGGACCCCTACCCAATCCACTACCTATGTAAGCTTCCCACTCGTTCCCACGGAAATTATCGGTCACGATAAAGCTTAGCCGACGATAAGGGAAGTTACGTAGTAAATTGTGTGGGGGTAGAGACGATAGTGGAGCGTTGAGAGTAGTGGCGTCTTATCAACGGCGTGATAAGGCACCGAAGCTAGCTTCCGGTTAGCAGCTACACTTTGTATCACATCTGGAAGTGTGTTGCGATGGTAGCGTAGTACTAGATATGATACAGTGGAATTTGTTGTCCGACGGAGGCATATCTGCTGACGCGATTTGTTAAAGAAAGAAAACATGTTCAGAACTGTAAATGTCTCGCTCTGTGCGGCCTCCCGACCCCTTTACCCCTGATAGGGGTAATTTCACCCGTATCAGGTGGCTGGCTATAAATAGTGCTGTACCTCTTGTATGAACTAAATAAATCTTACAACAAGCCACAGATTCAGCGCGCTCATATTAACTAGCCAAAGCGCTTTCAAAATACCAAGGTGAAAAACCTAAGAAATCTTCACTCCCCAATCGGGACGTTTTGGTGCATCGGCCGGGAAATTGCGAAAGTATCATTGTTTTGCAAATACGTGCATGCTGCTATAGCTTCGCAGAATACCCACAAGGTACATTTTTTGTCTTTCATCAACGTCGGCTATGGGCTTCGTAATTTCGATTGACGTTATTGACCGCGTGACAAGCTTTGTTTCATGTAAGATTTCGGCCAAGATTGGAAGAGATAAGATTGTTCCATTTTGTGGCCGTATCGTATACGTCCCTTATCAGGGACTTCAGTTTCACGATTAATGGCCTTGTAAGCCCGATAGGGTATGCTGAGTTCTAATGGCTAACAATGTCTCGCTTTGTCAGTCGATCTTTTAGCAACTATTCGAGTGCTCATTTGAAACTCGCCGGTTTCTGTGTTGTGCGGTACTCTTAGGAAGTTTTATTCACGTTCCCTCTAGACGATCTTGTTCTGGGATAGGAGCGTTGACGTCGCTTGAATTTGATGTTGTTCACGCAACTTCATGCCTATCTCAGCAAAGATGGCTTTGGAATCTTTGTATTTTTAGAGTGCTTCTTCCACCATGCCTGCTTGAAGAACAACGCTGTCTAAATACATATAAGTGCTCTATGATCTTCTTAGCTATGCCCGCATTTTATGGTTCAAATACGCTAGGATTACCATGTTAAGAATGCTAAAAGATGCCGTTAGATCGAAACATAAACGCGTGAAGCGGTACTCTACTATATTGTCACGTGTCGGTGACTTGTTTGCGTTTTTGATCCGTAAGAATCTGCAAAGATCTTTGTGTTCTTCTTGAAGTTTTATTCGAGTGAATGTGCTTGAATATCTTTCAGCACTAGAATTTTTCCGGTTCGACTTGCGATTAGGATTTCGTGGATTTTATTCACGTGACTCCCCCGTGTAAATTACACCATTCAGTGAAAAGTAGGCCGCATTTCGTATGGACGAGCATCGGGTACTATGCGGAGTGGCTTTGCTTAGATGGGCGCCATACACCTGAATGGGGCATACAGATAACTATGAGAGCTCCACAGTGAATCACATCTGGAACAAGGCTAAATCTTTAGTTATCTGAGAGGTCGATAATGTTGTTCTTCAATGGTAATGGTACAGTGACAATTTCCACGTCGACTTGTATACTCTTTGAATATATTCGAAAAGATGTGAATGTGGTCTCTTACCTTGTAAACTCGTTGGGTGAGAGTCTCAGACTTTGCAACTCCAACAGTTTTGTTGAGCAATTTGGCTTCGGTAGGCTCATTGATAAGTCAGTTGTTGCTCCACTCGGTAGTCGCTCAGATTATTAGATTATTAGTATTGGGAATGTGGTTCGTCACTATGTTGTAAGCCGTTCTGCAAACACGGTGCTAGGTTCGTGAATAATACGATTGTTTTCCTCTAACTCAGCTATAAGAGCCGAAGCCATGAATACTGGCGGAAATATCTTTAGCAATATGTAATCCAGAGACAACTGTAGAAAGTTGCTAATCTGAGACCAATGTAACGCAATTTCTATCCGACAAGAACTTGAGGTCGATTTTTCTCGAAACGACGGATTACAATCGCAGTCTATGAAGTTGTTTGTCTCTTTACTTTCACTATAAACTCCGTCGGTAATTACGGGTTCCGTCAGCATTGTCATGTAGATTTCTACGCCATAAGTAGTAAGTGCTTCAAGTTAAACATATTGCTGTGGAACGTTTCCGTGTGTCTGCCAATTTCCAAACATTTCCATTTTCTCTGGATGTCTAAGGAAGTGCTAGGTCAAGTGCTGCTTGTTCCAAACGCTACCTCCGGCTCAGCATGATCTGTTCAGTAGCATGATTACCGGGGTTGTCGGAATTTCCGAAGGCGTTATTGGCTGTTGTTCGTCCTCGCTAAGGTCTGTTATTTTAAGCATCAATTGGAATTATTACCACTTCACGGCTGCCTTTCACCTCAATTTTGAAAGGGGGTTTTTGGTTTTGTTGGAGCACGTTTCTAGGCTAAAAACCCCACTGTTGTCTTTGAGTTGTTGGGAGCGTTCGCTTTTGTGCGGGACCGTTTGCAGAAATTACATCGTGCATTTGTTTGCAGCGACAAACAATTTGTTTGGAGACTATCGCTACTTTGTGGTTGTCGGCAAAACTTTCTTAACGAAGTTGTTTTTTTTCAAGATTTCTTTTTTTTGTTGTTAATTCCTACTACAGTTTGCAGAAATTTGACGTGTGTTTGTTATTTTTGCAGAACACTATCCCTTCGAGTCCAGACAGGAAAGTAACAGTAGCAGAAGTGGCTGCAACTGCATTAGATATTCTATGTTGTGCCACTATGTTCGGGTCGCCACTGGCATAGTGATAATACTAAAAGCAATTTGCTCAGGAATAACGATTGTAGCGAATATAGTGAAAGACCCAAGTCAATGAGAATCACTCAGTTGGTTCGCGCATAAACAGCAGTAAACAATAAACGTTCATAAGACGCTGCACCACTCGTGTACTCAATTTGTACATCACGTCACGTGCCTCCACTAGTACGCTATCTACTCAACTCACCTCATAGCTGTGAGCACGTGAACGTAACAAACAGTGCTTAATCCACTTGATAAAAAACATGTAAATGACCACAGGTTATCAGTTATTACCTATAATGACTATCATGACTGAATTCCACACTGGTCTCGCCGAACTAGACCACGAGCAACACCTTTCGCCTATCGTCAGGGCCATGAAAGTACTCGATGACAAAATAGAGTCACTATTTAATATAGTGACGTCATCGAGCGGGTAAAAAAGAAATTTTTGGGAAAAAAAAATCGCATTGAAGCATTCCAAGTTACTGCTCGACGCTCTGCGCCTAAATGGCAGCGCGTATTTGCCTGCCAGACTGGTGGATCAAGAGTCAATATATATTTCTAGCCACTGCCCAAAGTACCCTGACTCCATCAGCAGGGCATTTCAGGCAACTGAATCTGGCTTCTGTACCAAATTTCAGACATTGAATCAAACTGATTGAGGCGTCAGGATTACACATGATTCCATAATACATATGTCCGTTATTATGTCCGCCTCGAGGACATCAATCGAATGGCCAATCGAATGGTATACCTGCGAAGAAGAGGAAACACTAGGTTCCCCCCCCAAAATGAACCATACAATTCTTCTTCTTCTTCTTATTCTTCAGCGTTTGTCCCGCTTGTTGGCGGGGTCCGCTTTTCTGATGTGCTGTCGCCACTTTTCCCGATTAAATGCTTGGTCGGGGTGGATGTTAACCAACTTCAAGTCTGCGTGCAACGTATCGAGCCAGCGCTGTTTCGGGCGCCCCTTGGGCCGCTTTCCGTGCACGTCTATGTTGAGGCCGATCTTGCGAACACTGTCATCATTTCCGCGAAGAACGTGGCCAAACCAACGAAGCCGAGCTTCGCGCATTTTATCAGCAATGGGAGCTACACCAAAGCGTTCTCGTATGACATCGTTCCGGACGCGATCTAATCGCGTGACACCAGCCGTCCAGCGCAGCATCTTCGTCTCCATTACACCGAGGCGAGTTTCAGTGTCCCTGGTCGCTGGCCAGCACTCAGCGCCGTACAATGCCACTGGTCTTATGACTGTCCTATAGATCTTCGATTTTAGGCGTT